AGGAGGAGGAGGATGGAGGAGGATGGCGAGAAGTAGAGAGTACAAATGCACCGAGAAAACCATCCATAAAGAGCAATACAATGAAGTATTGAGCCAATGTCCAAGCCCGTTGGCCACACCAACACAGTATTCACAGTCGCTCTCTTTGTCTGGCGCACAGCGCCCAACCTACACTACCATACGGAGGGAGGAGACGGGTAGGAGGAAGAGGAGGAGGAGGAGGAGGAGGAGGATGGCAAGAAGGAGGAGGAGGAGGAGGATGACGAGAAGGAGGAGGAGGAGGATGGAGGAGGATGGCGAGAAGTAGAGAGTACAAATGCACCGAGAAAACCATCCATAAAGAGCAATACAATGAAGTATTGAGCCNAGGAGGAGGAGGATGGAGGAGGATGGCGAGAAGTAGAGAGTACAAATGCACCGAGAAAACCATCCATAAAGAGCAATACAATGAAGTATTGAGCCAATGTCCAAGCCCGTAGGCCACACCAACACAGTATCCAAAGTCGCTCTCTTTGTATGGCGCACAGCGCCCAGCCTACTCTATCATAGGACGATGACGAAAATGAGGGAGGAGAAGGGTAGGAGGAAGAGGGGGAGAAAGAAGACGACGAAGAGGAGGGAGGAGAAGAGGAGGAGGAGGAGAACGAGGAGGAGGAGGAGGAGGAGGAGGGACGACCTGTCTTACATGGCGGGGGAGAACGAGGCTGGGCGATGGCAAGGGAAGGCGGTGGCCATGCTCGGGGACGTGACGACCAGCAGGCAGCGCGGCCGTGGGGCGAGGGGCCGTTGGTGGGGAGGGACCGGCATGCCTGAGGCACTACACCAAGCGCAGTCCGAGACGGGGGCTGCGCGAATTCGAATTCAAAAAAGGCCCGATCTGGACCATGGATCGTCTTCGATCAACGGCCCAGATCGGGCCTTTTTTTTTTCGAAACCGGTAGGCCCCCTGCGAAATCCGACAGTGGGAGGGTTTTCGGGTTGCCGCCTAGTACCCCGCCAGGCCCACTAAAAAAAAATCCGAGCCCTGCGCATATTTTGCGCAGGCCCCGGAAATACTTTTTCCGGTATTATCTGGTGCCCTTTTTCCGGCCAGATATACCGGATATTCAGAGGCCTTCCGGATATCCGGAATTTCTACTTAGATTTTTATCATGTCAGAATTCACAAAGTGAAGGAAGACAAAACCAATTACGCATGGTTCTGACCCTGAATGTGGTTTTTGATGTGTTCGCCGATGTGCCACTTCGAGTCCGCCCTCTGGGAGGCCGTTGGAGAGGACGGGATGCGCCTTGCCTCGCTGGCAGGGCATCATGAACAAACACACACACAAAAAAAAAAACATTAAAGAAAAGAGAAGGATCTAACAGAATTTAACTGATTTTCATGTGCGATACAATCTCTCAAGCACCTGCGTGCCCACGGTCTTGCGACTCACTGTCACCGACATCAACCTACAAAACGTAGTTCAATTTTTTTCTTTTCTTTTCCCTTCTGCATTTCCACCAGCGACCGGCACTTCCACCTACGACCCCCGCCCAACGGCCGCGTCATTTTATTTTTTAGCTGGGCAAGGAACTGGTGGATCAACTTTTTTTTTGTTTTTTGGACAATCTTTTTATAGCCTAAGTAGAAATGTTCGCTAGCATAAAGAAAGCGGCACTCAAATCCTGGCGATATAAGGGGAGATCGTCCAAAGGTCGAGAGCTCAAAGGTTCCTTATCAACCTTTGCATAACTCCCCGTGTGGTGCCTCGTGACTTTGAAATGTGAGGCTCCCGGGCCTTTCCGTGAATCTTGAGCTTCCCGGGCCTTTTCACAAACCTTGAGATTCCCTAGCCGGGCCTTTCTGCGAACCTTGAGGTTCCCGAGCCGTGCCTTTCTGTAAACCCTGAGGTTCCGGAGCTGGGCCTATCTGCGAACCTGGAGGGTCCTAAGCCGGGCCTTTTTTTGCGAACCTGGAGGTTCCCGAGCCTTTCTCCAAACCTGTCCCAGTCCGCCTGGTTACAACGCACAGCTGTGCTGATACCATCCCTTGCCCCTTCCTCTCCCCAAACCTTTATTTTTTCCTCTCTCTCTCTCCTCGAACCTATCTATCCAACCTACGGGCGTAGCTCAGTTGGTACACCCATGAACTGCTGCAAATCAAACCCATGTTCGAATCCAGATGCAATCAGATGAACAGAATAAAATAATTCTCAAATACCTGGGGGCCGTCAGTTCAAGTTGAATGATGAGGTATCTCAAAACC